AATGACACTAAAATATTCATGATCTTCCACTATCAGGACATTAAGCAAACCATTAAAGTGCTCTTACAATCTTTATCTAACAAAGATTCAGGCAATCCTGCAAATAATTTTCAGTAAGAAAAAAAATCCACCAAGGTAATGTAGTTTAAACAGCACTAAACATTATTAAGATGTCTTCCCTACAATAATGGCAGCGACGCATATCTAACTATACTATGAAACAAGACTGGTCTTCTGTTTCCAAAACGAAAAACAATTTCCAAATTGTTATCCTTAAGTTCTCTCAAGGTTATTTGCTCCTCTTAAAAAAGGATCAATTGGGCAGTGGAGCATTTTCACAACACAGTTATTGCCTGGCTTTGTACAAAGCAAACAAGTTTGTCAGCAAGATTTGTCGACTTTTACAGAAGACAAGAACTCACAGCATTTAGCTAAGCTACATATTTGATTTATTACAGAACGCTGCGACATCAGCACGGTAAAAGGAAGTAATTTACTGAACTAATTTGGTCAACTCACCCATGCAGCTGCATTTTTTTTTTTTTTGCTACAGCTCCCCACCACATACCTAATTTTTGATTCATATATGGAAAAGGATGTCACAGAGACACCAATGGGACTGAAGCTTGATTTAAAATGCAACAGAGAAAAGCAGACCACAGAGAGGTGAGCAATGCCTCACAGCGTGCAGGTAACAAAATCCTTGGGCGTTTAAGGCACAGTTTACCTGGGTCTGGCCATCGTGACCCTCTCCAGGCCTTCCTGAGCCCTGCAGCCACAAGCAGGAGTGCTCTCCTGCGCCGCGTCCTACCATGGTGCTCACCACTGCTAATTATTGCATTGGGAGCAAATGAGTAAGATGTCGAAGCCCTTGCTTCTACCACTGTCACCCCATCCCATTTCCTCCGGGCGATGGGACTGCAGCACTTCTTTGCGCCGGCAAGGAAGATTCATCTGTCGAGTCAGAATATGACTTAGGCAGAGCACAGTAACTGAAGCTCAGCTTTTAACACAAGCCCCGGTAGCAGGAGGCTGGTGCGGGTGCCCCAATGCTGGTTTCACTTCTGAGCTCTGCGGAGCAGGAGGAGGGTTGGGTGGCTGGGTAGCCCCTGGCAGTGCCGGGGGATCTGTCCAGGGTGCTCCAGGGGCCCAGCCGCTCCGCCTCGGCCAGGGCCTTTGGCAACTGCTGCAGCAGCTGCTGCAAAAGCTCAGGGCAGGCTGGACACCCGCTCATTTGGGACATGAAAAAGTGACTGCTGCTATTCCTGGTCCCCCATGCTCCTTTTTTTTTCCTCTCCTTTTGAAAAATCAGTTCTCCTTTTTTTCCTTTGCCAAATCTCGCCTTTTACACGGGTCAGCAGTGTATCTGACTGTTCCGGCTTATCCGCCAGAATAGTCTTTCTAAAATATCGAAATCGTTTCTTACAGGAGTAGGTGACCAGGGTGATTCACAGTTGTAAGCCACATATACATATGAAATGTTTCTGCTAAGAGGTATTTGTCCACACTCCTCTCCAAAACTTGTCCTTACAGCTATTTCATGCTTTCGAATGCTGGGAACATCACATTTTCACAAAGGCAGAAACACAAACCTTTTACCTGCCAAAGACCTAGAGACTGCTTTCTTTCAATGGTTCATTAACATGACCACAGCTAATTTCTCAGACGTTCCTAAGAATCCAGAAATGAGCCCAGCCATGCTTTGATTAGTCACCAATCTTCTGACAAACACAGTAAATAAACTACATATATTTAGCACTAACCCACTGTAAGACACAACACAGGGAATAGTTTATGATAAACAGGATAAAGGGATTTTTTTTGTCCTGCTCACATCTTTGAGGAGTTTTGACAAATAAAACCTAAACATTTAGAATCACATCTGTATCTTAACATTTACAGGAATATCATGCCAACAGCATCCTCTACCATTACCAATTAAATTTTAATCAGAGAATGTTCGGAAGGAGCTTTACATACATTATACAAACCACATACAAAAAATATTTAAAACTGTCTGTGTAGCATCAGCAACTAAAAAAAAAAAAGAAACAACCAATTGCACCCAAAGCTAAGAAGTAAACACATCTTTTAAGAATCAACATTTAAATGGAGTCAGATAAAAACAATATAATGACAAGCTTTGAAAAGATACTATTTTTAGCATACGGAACTGAAATGTGAACATGGGTTTCTCACGCTCACATTAAGACTTCCCATCACAAAGTGGCTAAGTTTAAATAAACCAGAAATGAAAATAATGCACATTCAGGAAAGAGGAACACAAGCAAAATTAAGCTAAGAGTGTACAAAATAAATCCATAAACTTGAGAATTGGGGGCAGAATCCAAAAAGGCTAACAGCCCAAGTAGATTTGCCAAGAAAAGATCATTTTTAACCAATTAATTCTCTCCTACAGCATTTTACAACTTCTAATTAGGAGAGAAGCAAGAGAACTTTTCTAACCTCACTGCAGTACACGTCACTTTTGATGCATTAGAGCACACAGAGCATCTGGATGAAGCTGTTCCAACAAGCCTCTGGTTTCATAACTGAAAACTTAATTCAGAAAGTAGTTAAGAATAATCCACAGTGATTAAAGACAATGCCCTGGTAGGTTCCAATACTATTAAATATATTCTCTAATGCCCTAAACAACTGAAGAGGAGCTTATTTCTCTCAGAGGGAGAGCTGGAAATCAGTAGCCTTAATGAACTGCAAGTAGTGTTTTTTCTCCCTCAGTTTTATAGGACTTAACTCAGTAAAAACAAATGTCAATTTCTACATTTAAGGGGGTTGGAGAATCTCATGTATGAGCTCAGGATAGTTATTGACTAGCTAAGTCATCCTCTATGACAAAAAGATTTCGAACCGAATATCAAAATCAAAAGGCTACAGTCATAAAGACTAGTTACAAATAAAGTTAGCGATATGAAACTAAAACTGTCCTTCATACCCTGTGGGATAAAACAAGAGGCATGAACTAAAAATAAAAGGAAATTCAGGCCTAATTCCAAACAACGATTTCTCTTGCTCAGAGCCAGAGATTCTGTGTCCTCGTCAGCTTTCTTGGCTGTGACAGTTTCAGTAGTCAGATGGGCTCAAAATATGGGCAGGGTTAGGAACCTTTCTTTGGCTGGGAGATAGAACCCCTCGGTCAGCAAGACACCACACCGTAAAATGAAAACCCATCACAGGACCACACACCTTCACCCTTATAAAGAGGAGGTCTCACTGATACCATTGATGATTCGGTTCGTAGCACAGCTTTACAGCAATCGTACAGGTGCACACACACAAAGAAGGCTGTAAACTGGTGCCTCAGATCCATGTCAGCTTTGCTTTACGAATTGCCCTCCAGTCATTTGTAGATGAATACCTGCTAATAAGGCATAAAAAAGTCCTCCTCTACACTTAAGTTACTGTGACAGACAGAAACAATTCTTTATTCAACTGAGTGGAAGCCTAGAAAAGGGCAAGCTGCTTTTGATCACCCTTTGATTTACAGGAATTCTCACTCCTTACATGTCAAACCAAATATTTTTCAAAGGAAAACAGTCTCTGTGCATTCAGAATTCTACAGCCTATCTTGTTTGCTCTTACTTTCCTAGCCTTCTCCACAGAGGGGTTAGAACCATTAATAGCAACTCAAAGTGTAAACAGTCTCCCATCTAGTCTTTCCTTTCAAAATAATGCAGTGACATGGGCTTTTATAAGTAAAATTGAAGCAACAGCCACTCACATATCTTCAGCTCCCTGTCGACTTCTTACGGAGAACCAGGAAAGTGATAGAGCTGTGCATGAAGAATTAAGCTTGTTTAAAAGGGAGGCCCAAGACCCTGCTTCTGCCCCGCACCAGAGCTGCCGTGTGGATCCCAGAAAAATTGCTCCATTTGCTGAGGCAACTTTTAAGGATTTTGGAATAGCATGCCAGTTATTTTCTGGCTACGATGTAGAGGGGGCGAAGCATGCAACCAGAACAAACAGATTTATCCTTTCCAACACTGAACTGAGGGACAACTGCTCTTTTGGCAATGTCATTTGCCTACTGGTCGACTTCTCCTTCCGCTGGAGAAGATTCCCAAAACAAAGTGAAAAACAACACAGCTGTCCACGTCGTGACAAACAAACCTGTTGTTCTGGTTTTTGTTTGTTTGTTTTAAGTCTAAGCAATAAAAGTTCCTACTTTTTTGCTGCAGTTTCCTTTGGAAAGAGACACCTTTTCTTACCAGTACCATTAATATGGCTGGTTGTATTTCTTCCCTTTTTCTCCCCCAAAATTGCAAGCACTTCACTGATAATCTCCTTCTAATAGTTTACAGCATATCAAACTAGAGCAAAGCTAGAAAGTGCAGCTAACAATTTAGACTTCTTTTTTTCTTCTTCCTAGCCCACACTTTTCACAGTGGCTTTTTTCCTATATTCACAGAATACTCCAAAGTTTCTGCAAAATGCAGAAAAAGAGTAAGCAATGACATTGCTAAGGGGAGATACTATTATGACAGAGAATATCAATAGTTCATCGCATTTTGATACACAGCATATGACAATAATTAAGACCTCTTCTTAAGAGTAATAAAAATATATATAAAAATAAATACAATGCCTCTTAGGAAGTTTTTTGTTGTTTTTGTTTGGAAACTGCTAAGAATACTAACTATGAGGATGCTTTGACTGATGAATTGTTAAAGCAGTGACAATATTGCCACTCATCAGCACGACAGAAGAAGAGCCATCCTACAAGCAATTATTAACCGTGACCAAAACTAAGCAGTGGGCAAAAGACAGCGTGTCGGCAAACTTTTTCCTGAGCTAAAGCAGGATGATAGAAGCATGAAGTGACACCGGTTCGATTGGATTTTGGTCCCTGCATGAGGCAAAGCGTGGGGTACTTTCACCCGGGGGCGCTAGGTCGGCGCCCCGGGGCCTGCGGCCTGCCCGGGAGGCCGGGCCGTGCTAAGGGGGAGCGGCGCGAGGCGACGGTGGTAACGGTCACTCACGCATGAGGGTGCTGAAGGCCACGACGCCCAGGAGCCCCTGCAGGAAGATGCCGAAGGAACCCATGAAGGCCCCGTTCTCGCAGCCGTGCTCGCCGG